CATTACCTTGCCTTGTTCAGAGTCTGAGTGGAAATGTCGTTTTGGAGTTTGCATTTTAGTAACTAAGAAAGAAAAATGCATGATGAGCCAACCCTTGGTAAGGCCTTCTTATTTAAGTCATAACTAGGTACCTAGGAAAAGAATCAGTGTTCCTGTGTCTGTAGGCAATGCTGAATAGATGTGACTAAGAATCCGATTTAAATGATTTGCAAATCAGTTTATATTTTTCCTGCACTTTGAGATTAAAGCTATGTAACTTTCCCATTGTCGACATTAAATTTTATCCCCAGGAAATATTGATGGACGCAGTTAACCCGTTTTTTCCTTTTGTTAAACGATAGCCGGTATTTGATTAGTTAGAACTTTGTGGAAACAAAAACACTTAAAAAAAAGGTGACACCCAACAAGACTTGTCCAGTAAGTGAAACATTTTTTTTAGTTCTTATGTTATAAATTGCTGATGAATCTTTCATTGTTTAATATTAAGTATTTTGACTAGTTCTCTAATGATCATGAGCTTCCCATGCCCAGTGAACAGTCTCATTTTGGGTATTGCTGTTTTAAATAAATGTAAATTTAAATTAAACTTTGTTTCGTTAATATTCTAATATAATTGTCTAAAACGAAATAGCGAGAAAAAGCCTCATTATAGTGGTGGAAAAATATGCTTATATTTTGAGAACGACCGTTCAATATCTATTGATATGATACAGGCATACTTAAAATAGTCTTTGAACGCACTTAACGGATCTGTAAATACACCATCAGTACCATCAGAAATTTGTCGTAATCTGGTAAAACCGGTGTTTTTCTTTAACACGAGACACCGGTTGTACCAGATTAATACAAAAATGATGGTACTGATGGTGCATCTTCAAATCCGTTAAATGCGTTCCAAAACTATTTTAAGTATGCCTGTATTACATCAATAGATGTCGAACGGTCGTTCTCAAAATATAAGCATATTTTTACACCACATTTCAGCGAACATCAATCACAGAGACAGCTACAGAAACAAACTTGATGCTTCAAAGTTTTTACAGATCTTCTCCAGTTTGTGATAAACAAGCTAGTTCATCAAGCTAATTAAGAGGGTAAGTTATGCATCCACTGTTGTGAATTGTAACAGTTAACTGCTTTTGTTACTAGTTAATTTCTTTCATTACGTTTATTATGATGCATACGTTTATGTCCCGCCTCATGACTTGCCAGCTTTAGTAATAAATAATTTAAACGGCATTAAATAATATTAAACGGGTCGGTTGGTGAAAAATAAATTACCGTAATTAACAATGTCCAGAAAATATATAACTTTATTAAAACTAAATAAAAGTAATTATTTTACATTGAGTCAGTAAATTATGCATTTACTTATTAAATGGATTAACTATATTTACTTCTAGATAAATAAATAATTGCTAACCTAAAATAATTAAAATTGCAAAATGAATAGAATGATATTTAATGAAAAAGAAATATTTTTACTCAACTTATGTAACATTTCAGAACGCTATCGAATTAAAATATTTGTTAAACATATTTGTTAGCACTATACAGGGTGAAATAATGCAAAAAAAAACACTTTGTTACAGAATATAAATGGTGTTACGCCAATCGATTGTACATACTAATGGTTCCGGGGTGTGCTCCGAGATGACGTTACCAGTGTTAAAACGAATTGAATAGCCATGGAACTCTGGATTTATAAAGACAGAACTAGAACTGTTCGAGAAGGGCCGGGGATATTCAAGAATATTCAAGACCATAAATGGATGGATATATAAGGCACACAATGGGTCCAGAAGCTCAATCTTAATTTGGAATCCAATGAGTAAAGAAGAAATAAGTTATAAATAAGATAATAAATTTGTGATTTCTCTGTATTTAATTGTGATTATAATTAAGTTCTTCATTAAGTTATTGTTGTTAATAATTAATTACTGAATAAGATTTGCAGGAAACAACTACTTAGTGGTCAAAAGCCCCGACCTGCATTGAATTAAACCTGCAAATTTTGTTTGGTAGTTAAAATCATTTATCAATTCCTCACTAGACATATACCAGTTTCGAACCTTTTATGTTCTCGTCAGTATGCCATAAGTAATGGAAAAGACAAATAAAAAACCAAAAAAAGAGAAAATATGATATAAGTTATCCCTCTGACACCAAAAGAACCCAGGTGTTTGTGATTGTTGACAAAATTATTTGTTGGATAAGAAGCTGCTGAAGATGAATACAACAGTTTTACAGTGAAAATAAAAATATACATTATTTTGCCAAATATCCACTATGTCATGGGGGAGGTAGTGATTATTAACGTGATCACATCGCATATACACGGAACTTATAGTTTTAAATAATCCTTGATTGATGACACGAGCAGGTCCAGATATGAACCTAGATCTTCTAGAAGAAAGAATGCGTCACTGTCCATCACACCACTGCCTTGATTCGATAAAAATGGGTTTAAAAGAATCACTTCCTTTAAAAACACTTTTACTTACAATTGCGTGCTTCAGATATGCTGAAGATTATTTGTTTGTAAATACTATTTTCAAAAGGATTAAATTGGTATAGAAATTTTAATTCGTTTAAAGATATTTTAATCAGTTTATTCACGTAAATGAAATATATAATCAACTTGAAGGAAAATAAACACTTTAGCTAATGAAACTTGATATTTCACGAATGAAATTTAAATTAATGGTAGCACAGTATAGTAACATTAAATTGCAATAAAAACTTTTATTAGGTTTTCCTTTTCCCTGTAGTTGCATTCTGATTAGTTAAGTTATTTTGTGGCAAATATTTTTCATATCTGAAAAATTAATATGGTATGTAAATAATGCAAGTAAATTTAATGAAACAGAACAACAAAATTTACTTTGCAAATATTGCAATAATTTTACTAAACTCCAATGAAATTAATTTTCATTAAAATAATGACACAATGATTATAGTGTACAGATGGTAGTATGTTATTGGTATATGTTATTATAATACTACTTCTATGTTAATACCATTACCTGTAAACGATATCATCCAGGAACCTAATTAGTAATCGTAATCTTTCCAGTGCCCGTATATACGATAGACCAACTTTCTTAGGAAGAGCCATCTCATGGAATATTCCAGGATACAGTCATGTAATCCAATCTTTCTTTGCTTTTTGCTTTGACGTTCAAATATTCCAGTGTGTGATATGGAGCAAAGTATTAAAATATTAATGTTTCTTATAATTTTTAATTATTATTTATTTATTGTTATTTAAATAACCAATTGGTCATTACTAAAGCTGGCCGGGCCCAGGCCGTCATGACTTACTCATCATATAGTTGAATAGTACAATAAAGTAATTTTAACAATATGTTACTTTTTATAAAATTTGTATAAACCACCCTTTTACGTTTATGAGTTGGTTTCGTTCGAAGTGAGCTATAGTATAATAGCATGGTTTTTCTACGCTTTTCGTGTTCGCTTTGGGAAAAAATATATTTGTACGTAATACAGGCAAAGTAAAACAATTGAACTACTTAACGAAGTTGTAGATGCACCTACAAATTTGTCTTAATTTGTTAAAATCGGATCTTTCTGTAATACCCTCGAATTTTTCACTAACGCGATTATTTTTTGCGTCATTTATAGCCTGTGCTGTATTTACGTCGTCCACTATTTGCAGATTCCACTAACGACAACGAACTATTTTGCAATTTTTCTATTGCATCGTATAGTCCTCTATAATTGTTATTAATAGTTTTTAAATCTGTTTCAAAGGAAACGTCTTGAAAGCTTATCTGGCTTTCCCTAATAGCTGCAGCTTGTTAGGGTTGAACTGTGTCCGCTTTTATTTGTTGAAAATATTCAGCATAATAAAAAGCGCCTTCAACCACGTCCCCAACGTAAGAACGGCTTGGTGGTTCGGATACCAGGACACTATCTGTAAACTGGTTTAGGAGATTTAAGAAATACTTTTTTTGTATTTGCTATTAATGCATCTACCTCTGGAAAACATTTTCGAATCGTTTCTGCCACAAGATGTAACGCATGCACTTTACACATAACATGTAAAAACCTACAATTGTCTCTTTGAAGAGAACAGCCTACCATGTCATTGTTGCGGCACCATCAGTCACAAACATCAATACTTGTCTCCAACACCACACGCGTAATTATTTCGCCAGTACACGGTAGTCTTTTACTAGCTAGTAAAAGTAGAAATGTTGGTTCAAGAGGGTCAGTACACGTACTTAATTTTAAAATAATTTTTTTTACAATCTGTGTTCGTTAATACATAACCGGCCGTGTATTTTTTAATCCACATTTAATCCTATTTACAATGTCTTCCGAACAGCTGGAATATATCTACGTAACGATGTACGACTGGTAAGTTCACCGGGATTGTATTTATTCCAAAACTCCCGAAATGGTTGTTTATCCAGTATGTGTAGCGGAATATTACAGGCTTTAACATTAGCAATAAATCAAACATAAACTAGTTGTAAAGGCTCCGTTTTTATTTTGATATTACACGGTATTATATGACGACATTAAGTTTTGATTGCAAACTTTACAAATTATTTTACATCCGTATAGAATAAATCCGGAAATCACCGATAAATTTATTCATGTGTGGTACGGCCGTTTTTTACCCTTTGGCGCGTTTGACATTATGTATAATTTATAGGTACACGCATTAACCTTTAAATAAGACTGCAGCGCAAATCACTTCTAAATCGGCACTGACGCCACGCAAGACCTGCTGTACTCCAGCCACCTCGCCAACTTTAGTCATTACGTTGCTTTCAAAATGAAAGGGAAAGTTCGAAATTTGTATAGATTTTATACGATCCTCGATTCACCTGTGGAATTGATAAGATTTTTAGAGATATAGGTATGACAGTGGTTATTTTTATGGGAAACAACTTTTAAGCAATCCAAAAGACAAAATTAAAACGAATGAAAAGCCGGGAATTTAAGAATTTAGCTGCAAGTACTGCAATGGCTTCGTGGTAGAGTGGTAATGATACTTGCCTCTCACTCTCGAGTCCCGGGTTCGATCCCCGATCGAGGAGCTAGGATTTTTTTCTAAACCATAAATTAATTCTAACATACTCGGACATTGGATGTGTCCATTGTTTCTAAACCACACAAGGTACCTTGAGGTACCCTCAGGGATACAGAGGGTTGTATTACCTGTGGTGTTTAATTTTTTTAATCAAAAGTATGTTGGACAAACTAGTCGAACAATTCAAACTAGATTCAAGAAGCATATGGCTCATCTCAACTCTGGTAGAACAGATAAATCTTGTGTTGCCCAACATGCATTTGAGAACAACCATAAAATAGATAGTAGCAGATTAAAATTAAATAAGAATGTAATAAATACCATGCACATCGGTTCATCACTAGCGCAGCATGTGAAAACCACAGGACAGTTGATAGACACAAGAGAAACAGTAGAAATACAAAGAACATTACAAGATTTTAAGAAGAGTGAGATGATACACAGAGGCTAACTATATCAGAAAAATCAGCTCTATTTACTTATTATTTATTTATTCTCATTGAGGACTGTCAATTTTGTTTTAGCACTTTTGCTTAAAGACAAACAATTAAACTAAATTATTTAGCACGTTTATTACCAAACTCCTTAATTATCGAAGTTTCACGCTTACGTTTAACCAGTTGTTCTGAGTTACAGGTGTTACTTGAATTGACACTCGGATATTGAGTATTATAAACATACTCAGGATGATTTCCTAATTCACAGCCGAAAATAAATGCTCTGATTAAAACAAAATTGATATTTGTATACTATTTACTCTAACATAGTTCAGGATAGAAATAATATTGACCTTTGAATTTCACCTGCCTTGTAACGATCATTTTGACCAAATGAAGTTACACTGTTTAATAGTACATAATTTTGGTGTGATGTGCACTTTAATGTTACTTATTAGTAATACATTGTTCCTTTTTTTAGCTCCCCTTAGGCCGCCACTGGACTTCCGTTTCGCACTTGCTATCAAAACAAGGAGAGAATCTCCATATTAAATTTGTTCCATCATAGATTATATTATACCATGAATCACACCGAAGACCAAGTATTAGTTCACTTATATACAACAGGTGTTCTGTGTTTATCCAAGTTTTAAGTTGGCATTTCAGTGACCTATGAAAATATATTGAATAAACCATACATTAAATTTAGTACATATCTCGTAAATTATAAATTAGTACACTTAATGATTAAGGATTAATGATTGTAATAAGTATAACTTAATGAATAGGTAATATTCTTTGCTTCGTTCCACCTGTTTTCTTAGGTTGGTACTTAAGGCATTGTCAAACGGTGGATCTCTAAATTCAGCCCACTTGACCAAATACCGCGATACGGTAAACGTCTTTTTGTGTGCCTTGCCGCATTTTTTTGTGAAACTCCCAATTCCTTGGGCTAAGGTAAATTGAAATTAATCCTTTATTATTAACAAGCATCATATAATTGTTGATTGGTTTATTTCTGTATTTTATTTGTCAGGTAAATGAAATTACCGGCATTTGTAGTATGTCACATGTTTTCCTCAAGGTCGCGTGCCTTTTAAATATGTAATTTTGCATTTTGTCGTAAGAAATTATTAATTAAAGTTTAATTAACTTAACTGTTAGGGGTGATGTGGGTAACCACGCCCGAAATTTTATTGTGTCTTGTTAAGGGTAAAATTTTAAGAATGTTGAATGCAACAAAAAATTATATAAAAAGTGAGGAATTTTTTAGAAAAGGATAGACCACAAACACATAACGCACCTTTGAGTGCCCCGATTCAAATTATCATGACAAGTGAATTAATACTGGGCCTTTTCAGGTAGTTGGAGTTTTATTATGGACCTTACTTACTTACTTTATTAATGTGAGCTTGAGTTAGTTTTATGGAACCTAACCTGTTTACTGAGCTACTTACTCTCATGGACTGTAACTAAGTCCTTGGATCTTTATATTTTTCATCCTTGGTTGGATGCACCATTTGAATTCACCCGTTAAAGGTTGGACCTTCATTGTGTGAAGATTAATTACATTATTGGCTTCCTGAACTTCACTATCAGCATAGCAGTGTGGAACGGATGTACATGTGGTGACCCATGTAGGGTGAGACGTCTAAACCTTCGGAAGAACACTCAAGTTTCGACATTTGGTTGATTGTTTTTAGGCCTTCAGCCGAATTAACATTTACTTTTTGGCCTTCAGCCAACCAAATTTTACTTGAAGCCTTCAGCTTAAACATATTAATATTTTCATTTTAATGTAAGGAATTAGCTAATTCTTGCTAGGTTACAGCCAAGCTGTTCGTGTATAACACCATTTAAGATACATTTTATTCCTTATACATTTTAATATTGTCACAATAAATACTTTTATGGTGATTTTTGATTTTAAATACCTATGATTGATTTTAAGGCCACTGAGTAGCCACAGTTATAATTTTAAGAAATCTTTACTTTTTGGGCATAGGCGTTTTTTTATTACAAATGGTTACTGGCGCCCTTTCTTTTTTGTTTTTTTAAGAATTTTATAATCGAAACACGACCCAGCCTCCAAACAAATAACGAGATCCGGGTAGCTACCTTCCAAAGCCCTCTTAGGGAAAGGAAGTTGGTAGCAGCCTATTTCAATGTTATTGACAGAATATTTTTAAAATTCTATAAATACTATGCAATATTGGGTTTAAAATGGTATAACTGGTATAATATGTAAATATTCAACACCAGATTGTATAACAAAAAGTGTACCACTCACGACTAAGGGAAAATACATTCTAAAACAACTTTAAAATACACATTTCGTGACTTCGAACGTGATCTACTGCCTGCTCATGCAAAATATTACAATAAACGGTACATCTGATATTATTTCTATAAAAATACCATGGCTATTAATAACGGCGGCAAATTTATTACGCGACGTGTATATGATAAGCTGCATAAGGCAATAGGTTGCGTACATACATATATTAGAGCTTCAATTATAGCTCTAAATATTAAATACATCCGAAGTACGAAGTACGTAACTTTCTTGTGTACGTGTAGTTTGCTTCTAGATGGCTTGGAGGCAGGGCCCAAAGGGGTTGTTTTTGTTACCCAGGAGAGTCAGTGACCCATTTCAGGGTAGTTACTTATGCAAATGTTCAGAATCGCCCAACGACGGTCACCAGAGCTTTCATTTTTGGCACTTACTTTCTAGTCGCGCATATATTTTGGACCCTACCGACATAATTTCATTAGTGAGGCCCAGTTTTCATACGTAATTTAGTTTATGCGTTTTAGATGCCCATAATTTGCATGATAAATTGTCAACTTTATAGTGGAAGGAAAAAAAGCACATATTTCACAACGGTTGGCTATTAAAGATTTAAATCTATGTCGGGAAATCCGCTTTAATGGTCGGTCCATTAAACGTTACAGCACTTCGATACACTTTCTGGAGTATACATATTTAGAGATGCGAGCATATAAAGTTGTTCTGCTTTGCTCTATGATACAATTCAGGTAGATATAGTATAAATATATAGATATTTATTAACAATAAATGAATACAATGTATTATATACAAATAATAACTAATGCACATTTTTCCATGTAGCACTCACATTAAGACTTATTAATTATTATTCTTCAGTCTACAGTAAAAATGCCCGTGTTAAAACAATTTCACCCCTTTCCACATCGAAAATGCATGTTTTCCATACCACACCCACTTTATATGTACAGGAGATGAAAATAAATAACTATGGTCGATGAAACATAAAACGGTATCTTATAAATAAAAATAAAACATTGATGTAATGGGTATATATTTCTTATTGAACTAATTTACAAGAAGAAAGATAACATATTATGGTAATGATAATGTAATGGTTGGGGAGGCTGACGTCTAAAAAGTAGGCTGCAGACACGCCCTTTGCTATGCCTCAGGCGTCAGAACGCTTCACACTGCCCCAGGAAGTGTTAAGATGTTTCTTTGTCACTCCTGCATCCTGGACATGTACGGCCTTCCTCAACACCTATCAATAATAGATATCTCTGCTTTTGACAATCGTTACGTACTGGGAAATGCATATTATCTAACTATTACATAACGATTACTAAATTTGGTTAACTAGGGTATTATTTTAATGTAAGCATATGCATATTGTGCGATATCTTTGAATTTGTGGTTTTAAAGTTGATTTCATGGTAGGTATAGAAATAACTATTGGTAAATAATTAAATGATTTCAGAACCACAAAACTATAGAGAAATTAGCCAGCGACGTAGGTGGGAGTTACTTTGCCAGACTAGAAGCTCACAGACAGAGCTGTTGAAAGTATCCAATGAAAGTATTTGAAGTACCAAATACCAAGTACCTGACAAAGTACTTGCTACTACAATTCCCAGGTACTATGACCTGAGACAAAGTAATTCAAATACCAAATACTTGTCGAAAGTACTTTAAGTAAAGCGCAAGTACCGTATATCAAGTATTGCAGATTATTTGAAGTACTTTAAACTACTTCAAATAATCTAAAGTACTTAAAGTACTTCTTAAAGTATTTCAAATACTTCTCAAAAGTATTTCAATTACTCTAAAGTATTTCAAGTACCATGTATTTCAAGTACTCTAATATATTTCAAATACTCCACAGTTCTTCCAATACCCATAAAATTTTATACACTTGGGCCGGCGCTTCTTTTCACACACGTCATCAATTTGTGGACATGATCAACGACAGCACTCTTAAAATGATTATCATAAACATCGGCTAAAGTTAGAAAAAAACAAATGATGTGATTCATGTCTTAGTCATCTTAGTTCATACCAATATCTTTGATGACGTGTGTGAAAAGAATCGCCGGCCCAAGTGTATTTATTAAGTTTTTTTCTTATCATTTATTGTTTTATTAACATCTTATTACATAAATATAAAAGCGAACAAAAACAAATATTACTATTGTCGATTTCCGTTCAAATATCATTAAAAACAGGAAAGTCATAAAGAAAACAAACATATATAAAATATAGTAATAACTTTAGGTAAGTACA